TGGGTATTACCGCCGTTTTGTGAAAGATTTCTCTAGACTAGCTTCGTCGTTGACTAGATTGACGCGGAAAGGGGTCAAGTTTATATGGAGTGAGACTTGTGAAAAGTCGTTCCGAGAGTTGAAAGTTAGATTGACCACCGCTCCTGTTTTGATTATCCCGGAGAGAGGGTTGGGTTATGCGGTTTATTGTGATGCCTCACAAGAGGGTTTGGGTTGTGTGTTGATGCAAGAGGGGAAAGTGGTAGCCTATGGCTCACGTCAGTTGAAAATACACGAGAGGAATTACCCTACACACGACCTAGAACTTGTAGTAGTAATTTTTACCTTGAAGATTTGGAGGCACTACCTTTATGGTGAGAGATTCGAGGTGTTCTCGGATCATAAGAGTTTGAAATACCTGTTTACACAGAGAGACTTGAATTTGAGGCAGAGGAGGTGGATGGAGTTCATTGAGGACTATGATTTCAAGTTGCACTATCATCCGGGAAAGGCCAATGTTGTGGCCGATGCCCTTAGTAGGAAATCCATTAGTGATGTAGTTTGTATAGCCATCCGGGAGTAGGAGATGTTGGGCGCACTTGGCGAGTTTGATTTGCTTCTGGGCGAATCCGTTGAGGCTGCGGCCTTGTTTTCTGTTATTGCGCAACCTACACTTGTGACTCGAGTGTTAGAGGCACAGGGAGGTGACCTTGAGGTAGAATCCCTCCGGGAGAAGATCTCCAGTGGGAAAGTTAAGAAGGGTTTGACGGTGTATCCCGACCTGAGTGTGAGATACCGAGACCGTCTGTTTGTGCCGGAGTTTTGCCGAGAGGAGGTACTCCGAGAGTTTCACCATTCACGCCTTGCGGTGCATCCGGGAGGCACCAAGATGTATCATGATTTGAGTCGTCAGTTTTGGTGGCGGGGTATGAAGAAGGATGTGGCAGTCTTCGTATCAAGGTGCCTTACTTGTCAGCAAGTGAAGGTCGAGCATCAGAGGCCAGCGGGTTTGTTACAACCCTTGCCTATTGTCGAGTGGAAGTGGGAGCACGTCACTATGGACTTCGTTGTAGGCCTTCCGAGGACTCAACGGGGTAGTGATGCTATTTGGGTGGTTGTAGAGCGCTTGACTAAGTCGGCGCACTTTATCCCTATGTGTGTAAGAGATTCGGCAGATCATCTTGCCGACTTGTATATTCGGGACATAGTGAGGTTGCACGGGGTCCTAGTGTCGATCGTCTCAGATAGAGATCCACGTTTTACTGCTAGGTTGTGACAGAGTTTGCAGAGTGCCTTGGGCACTAGATTGACCTTTAGCATGGCGTATCATCCTCAGACTGACGGGCAGTCCGAGCGTACTATTCAGATCCTTGAGGATATGCTTCGAGGTTGTGTCCTTGACTTTAGTGGGTCGTGGGAGAGGCACTTGCCCTTGGTGGAGTTTGCCTACAACAACAGTTTTCAGTCGAGTATCGGTATGGCACCGTTTGAGGCCTTGTATGGCCAACCGTGTAGGTCTCCAGTTTGTTGGGCCGAGGTGGGTGATTCACCTTTGTTGGGCCCGGCGTTGGTGAGGGAAACGACGGAGAAAGTTGAGCTTATTCGTAGGAGGCTTGTTACAGCCCAGAGTCGTCAAAAGAGTTATGCCGACCGTAGGAGGAGGCCTTTGGCATTTGAGGCGGGTGATCATGTTTTTCTGAAAATATCACCTAGGCGGGGTTTGATGAGGTTTGGAAAGAGTGGGAAGTTGTCCCCTCAGTTTATTGGCCCTTTTGAGATCCTTGAGAGGATTGGCGAGGTTGCCTATCGTTTAGTTTTACCGCCACAGTTGTCCAGGGGTGCATGATGTGTTTCATGTTAGTATGCTTCGGAAGTATGAGCCGGATCCATCGTATGTTTTGGATTGGACCGACTTAGAGGTTGATGAGAATGCCTCGTATGAGGAGAGACCGGTTCGGGTCTTGGACAGACGGGAGCAAGTCTTGCGAGGCAAGACCATTCCCTTGGTAAAGGTTTTGTGGAAACATCACAGAGTGGAAGAAGCCACTTGGGAACGTGAGTTGGAGGTCCGTGAAAAATATCCAGATATGTTTATTGATGTGTAAATATTGTAATGAGAATTTTGTAATATTGATAAACTTTAAGAGCATGGAATATGTCTTAAGTTGTAAAACATTATAAATATTTTGGTTTATGGAAATATATTTTGAAACTTGCCTTAAAATGGAAGTTAATTTTAACATTGTATATGTTAATGATGTTTTAGAAATGCAAATGTATTGTTGGCATTGAATATGTTTTGAGATACATGTTGATAATGCATGTTGGAGACTATATGGAAGTTTGCCTCTTGGATAGAGATGGAATGACCGGTAATAGGTCAAGTTGTTGAATTTGGCATTGTAATAATGTTGGTAATTGAGAAGTCTTGTTTTTGAAAAACTTGTACTTAATTTCGGAGACGAAATTCCTTAAGGGGGGAGGTTATAGCGATCCTGGTTCTTCCTTCTTTGATTGTTATATCCGGACTTAGGTTCCGTGGAGTTGGTTGTTGTATATATTTTGTTGGCATCCTTTAATTCCATATATTTGAGTTTTAGGATGCATTGGGCGTGTTTCAAACAGGTTGGTTGAGCTTTAGTCACATTCCTTGTTGCCCAGATTTTTGGTGGTCCGCTCGAGCGGGTCCCTTTGCGCTCGAGCGGAGTTTACACACTTTCAGCATTTTGTGCCTCTACAAAACTTCTGCAAGTGCATTTTTCACGCTCAAACGGATTTCCTTACACTCGAGCGGGCATCTTGGCACTCGAGCGGGTGTTCAATGTCTGTAAAAATACTGGAAGATGGTAATCTACGCTCGAGTAGATTTTCCTTTACGCTCGAGCGGGTGCTATTTGATTTTGTGTCTTGGCGCTCGAGCGTGTCTTTTTGCGCTTGAGCGGGTCCAGTTTTGTGTGTTTGACGCTCGAGCGGGATAGTCATATATCAGATGGCAGCTGGGTGATTTTGAATCACTTTTCACATTTCCTTTCTCTCTCTTACTTTTCTAAACCCTCTTTTGAGAGCTCCTCTCTCTAGAATATACCTTCTCTCTAGTGATTGATCTAGCTTGAGTGATCTACTCCCTTAGTGTCTTTGCAAAGAGTGTAGAGCTTGGCTTGGGCTTCCTATCAATTTGAAAATCTTGGGTTTTGGAGCATTTCGGGATTTCTTCATCATCTCCTTTGAGTTTCATCTCTTGAGGTAGGGATTCCTACTCATCTTTATGAGTTTTAACATAGATGTTGAGCTTTTTGTATAAATGGTTTGATTTGGGAAGTTAGGGTTTGAGATGGGTTATATTAGAAAGAGGGGTTTTGTTATTTTGATTCAAACATATGTGTTTTGGGTCTAAAAAGGTACTTATTGTTGTTGTTGAGAATATTTGGACCATTGGGTCAATATTGAGAAAAAAGGAAAAAATGCCATGTTTGGGTATATTTGGGTCATTAGTGTAATTATTGACATTTATTATGGAAATATTAAATTGAGTTGGAAATAATGTAATTGGCTCATTATGAGATAGAATGGTGGTGTTGGAATCATTAATCACTCACCTTGGAAACTGTTGACAAATTATCTGTCGATATAATTATTATCTGTTTAGAAATAATTGCTTTGGGCTATCGGTGGAGGATAGTCTTGATTGTTGTAAACATTACATGATAATTAGGTGAATTAAAACTAATCAATTGGATATGTCATTGAATATGACAGTTGAAATAATACATCAAATTTATGTATTGATTGATTATGTATATCATATGTGTTTATATACATTGTATTGTGTGGGAGAAGATATGGGATGTACTCCACGGGAGTTAGTGGGCTCCAAAAAAATCATGTTTAGGTGGAAAAAAAATTAGGTGAGACTAGCATTTTTTATGGCGGTTTAGATCACTAATCCTATGGCAGTTTTGATGTTTTTGTGTGTACATCTTGTACCTTTCATCGTCATCAATAAAGTTTCTAATTTTTTGCCGATCACAAAAAAAAAAAAAAAAAGACTAATCCTATCCCCTGCTAGACAAAAATAACAAAGATTAATACCTCCACACTAGTAATTTCATCACTCACAATATTACTGTAATCTTAATCCCAATTTGCATAATCCACCAATAAGCATGGCTTTAGGTCCTTTTGTTGGATCTGTACAATACCAAAAAAGATCTGGAGTAAATATTTACAAAAAAAAAAATGGCAATATTTTTGTTACTTCCACTAGGCGTGAAAATTGAATAAACAAAATTACAAAATAATGAAAATTTTACATTTCATTTTATTTTCTCTTCTCTTCTTCCTCCTTTCTTCTACATCCACTCCCTTCCCTACCTCTGCAACTTGCTGACCATTATCACCACCGCCCCTCCTACCTCTGCAACTTGCTGACCATTATCACCACCGCCCCTCCGCAATCACACCATCCCCTTCTCACTGCCCCCATCCACAACCACCAAATTATGATTCTCGAGTATTAACACAATTACATACACTCATTAATTAATCATAGTTTAACATCTAACATTGGAACACCCATACATCCACTAATGTAACAAACACTTGAAACCAATTTTTATCATTTAAAAAAAAAAATACTTAAACATGTTTAAAACATCCACAGTGGTACTACAAAGAGTGAATTAGATACAAGAAACCACAAATTTTGAATACAAAAGATCCAGACTTCACTCAGTTTTCATCATATAAAATACACTACGATTCAATATTTAACACAAGTACTGTAGTTCTCTAAGAGTGAATTGAACATAAGAGAACACAAACTTTGAATATGGAAACCGGAGAATACAACTCTATTGGAGCACCCATAGACAAATTTTGATACATATCTCACTTTTATAACTTTTTGTCATATAACACACTTTAACAAATATTTTTTAACACATACAATGTGAATGCTCTAAGAATGAATTAGTTACAAAATACAACACAAATTTTGAATATTACAACTTTTTGTCGTATAATGCACTTTAACAAATATTTTTAATACACAACCAATGAGAATGCTTCCAAAGTGCCAAATTTGAGAGAACAAGACCAATGATGCATTTATTTTGCATGATCAATTGGTTTGCTTAATCCCAATTTCATTTTTGCAGTTTGGCCTGGAAACTTTGAATGTAGCCCTTCATTCTTCATCTAAGAATGCATATCATGCCAAAGCTGGTAGGTAGTAAGGATGTCATAACGCCCGCAGCCGCCCGCCCTTTTCAAATTTGGGTCCTGCTAGTCAAACCCAATGTCACATATTCACTTCATATAAACACACTAATGCGTGCAGAAAATCGTGAATGAAAGTGAAGATAGAGAGTCGTGTATAGTGAATGACAATTATTGATTTAGTAATTACTAACCAAGATGAATATTTGAAATAAATATAATATTGTGGATTATGTTTGGGAACAAAAATTGTATGATAAAGGGTTCTCAAAACAATTACAATTACTATATTATGTCAAAATTTTGAGAGATAAAAATATTAATTTATAATCTTAACTGATTTGGAAAAATGGTCTCACTTGCTTTAAAAAGAAATCATAAATGAAATTAGGTGAACAAATTGTTGTTGATTCTACAGCAATCAACACTGTGAAAAAATCAAACTGATTAAAAAAATTTAAAACTCGACAATCATGGTTATGTTCATCTTTATTCATAAAGACAGATCTTAGATAGATAGGCTATTAAACCCATAAGAGATTACAAATTTTGATCTGAATCTTAATTTGATTATTTGGACAGTTAATTATATAAAAGTATTCTGGAAAAATTTTCAAAATGTGAAATGAAATCTACCAAAAATATATTTAAAATTAAAAAAAAAATAAGGAAGATGTATAGTTAAATCGAAATTGAGAGGCAGATAGAATTACCGGCTTGGCTAGAGCACTTGGATGTGGAGCGTCATAGACGGGCTTACAAGGCAAAGCACAAGAAATCATCTGATTCAATTTCAGCAACAAAAAGTCATCAAAAATCAATCACAAACAAAGAAATCAAGTCAAAATCACATATATGTAGGGATCATTACCAATACTCTGGTAAAATCGCTTATCCGCTGATTTAATCAATGGAATTTTCAAGACTCCATCTTCATCGTCATCTTGGTTGATGCTGCAGCTTCTCATCTCAGGCGCCATTGATGAGTTGTGATGGGTTGGGTATACAGGATCCCTAGGGTTAATATATATACACGGTCCCTAGGGTATCTTAAAAGAAAAAAAAATAAAATAAAATAAAAGGAATCTCATTAAGTTTGATGAAATAATATTTGGACTCTAAAATTTCATTTTATTCAAGGGTCTGATTAATATTATACGAATAGTTTGAAAATAAAATAAAATTTCAAATGAAGTATGATTGTCACATTAGAAATTTTTATTTTATTATAGATCATAATTAATGGTAAGGTAAAATTAAAACAAAATCAAATAATTCAGGTATATAATTGATATCATTAAAAGAATAAAGGTTAATTTGCTTTTTTTAGTGACAATTTAGAGCAAAATAATATTTTCTATTTAAGTTTTTGGTAAGTATTCATAATTGCCATGTTTTTGGTAAGTATTCATAATTGTCAAGAAATACTCATTAATATCTTACGATTGTGATAATAAAAAAATATATTTTGAAAAAATGTTTTAATTTTTGTAAAATCTTTCAAAAAATGTTTTGAAATAAGTAAAAAGTGTTTAATGATTTTTCTTTTTTCATAAATTATTTATAAAATCGGTTTCTATTGTCTAATTGGGATGGAGATTATATGTTTCAAATCACATCTGAGCAATGAGGTAATCTTCATGGTTAACATGCACCAAATTTGAGATGCTGATAAAATTTGGTCATCCGACAAAAAATAATGATTTAAAAAAAAAAAAAAAAAAAAAACTAGGTATGTTTATAGATAGGCAGTCTCAAATGCAATGAGAGAGCACAACATAAGTGCAGAGAGAATATTTTTTTATAACCCACTCCAAGCCTGGATATTTGAGATTTGTGCAACACTAATAAGTACAAATTTTCTTGAGGGGTGTTTTGATTTTAGTTTCTTAGTTCATTTTTGATTGTCTGTTGGCAGATCTATCTTATCTTTTGGTATGATGCCCTAGTCTTACTTGATTTGACTTCAACTGCAGCCTGGCTATTCACTTCGTACTTTTACTGGACATTCGTCTACTGCTATGTCTCTAGACTTCCATCCGAATAAAGATGACCTTATCTGTTCTTGTGACGGGGACGGTGAGATAAGATACTGGAGTATTAACAATGGAAGTTGTGCAAGAGTATTCAAGGTAAAACCTATTGAACTTCTTGCCTCCATTGTAAAATTAGATGCATAATTTTTTCTGTTAGTTATTTATTTGATCTTTAGATGAAAAATTATCAAATGTTGTGCACATAATGATTATATTAGTTTTATGACCAAATTATTTTATTTTATCTTTTGTAAAAATTTAATGTAATCATTATGTGCACAACACTTGACAATTTTTTATCCAAATATCTAACAAATGATTTATAAAACGATTTAATATTCAAATTCAAATAGTTTGAGGGGGGTAATTGTTAAGTTTAAATCATTAAGAGGGTAAAGTGTAAATATGATAATTTGAGGGGGTTTAATATAATATGCCCATATAAAATTACTCTTTATTGGTAATTTGTTTCAAATGCAATGAGTTGTAAATGTATTCATGCTTTTCGTTTAAAAGTATATTGTAACATCATTAATGACAAAAAGGATATAATATTTTCTCATCACAAAACATATTTTGTTTGATGGTACACACCATAAATATTTGTAACTCTTTCAAGATTATAAAATAAATAATAATAATAACAATAACAATAATACATGGTTACAAAGGAATCTTGATTCAATCAATTGGGTTTAAAATGAATGGAGTTTAATAATTTAATATAAATCCCAACTGAGATTAAAGTATAAATTCAATTTGATTCAACTTGTTACACATATT